CTCCCTGCTGAGCAGGGAGCCTGATGTGGGACTCGATCCTGGGACTCCAGGATCATGACCTGAGCCGAAGGCAGTCGCTTAACCAACTGAGCCACCCAGGCGCCCTGTCACTAAATATTCTTATATTAATTTTTAAATACATACCAAGCAAGAGAGTCTGCAAAACCTAAAATACTCTGGCTGTTCACAGTTTGCCAAGTTTTGGTATAGATGAAACAAGATAGGACATTAGTTGGTAATCTTTGAAGATGGGTGATGGTATGTGGAGTTTCATTATACTAGTTTACTTTTGTATATGGCCGACATTTTTCATAATACAGTTTTTAAAATGTTCAAGTGTACCAGAGGTGATTAATCTATGTGTCTTCACATCCCCTTTAGACAAATATCCCCTAGAAGTTGTCTATATCTAGTAAATGCAGCCTTTGCTTTTTGTTTTCCTGAAAAAGCAAAAACCCTTTGAAGCTTTTAGTATTGTCAAAATAATCCCTTTGGATTGGACATTTCGCAACTGCGAAAGTAGAAGGCAGAAACTCGATTGGGGAAAAGGACTTCTGTTTTTGTTTTGTTTTCACAATAGCATACGCTCCCAAGACCAATCCCCTTTTTACAAAAAATGAAGACAAAAATCCCCTTTAGTTAGCACTCCAGGATTCTCCGCCCTCAGATGAATCCCGGAAATGACGCCATCAACCAAATGCTACCGTCCCCAGTAGTGGCGGGGCAAGAACGTCAGCACGTCGATCATCCTACACGTCCAGCCTGGGTAAGACTGACTGGAACGCCCCAGCTGGCGCCGGTCCCCGAATCTTCGGGAGCACGGCCGACTGCGACTGCGCAGGAATGCTGGGGCGGGTCTTCAAGTCACCCCGCCCCCTTCCAGCCTGTGCGACCAATGAACAGCTCCTGCCCCGGGGCCCGATAAATCCTTAGAGGCCGTAGTGATTAGCCGAGGGGACAGCCCCGCCCTTGGCTCTTCCAGGCCCTCACTCCCCACCTCGCGCCGTCGCCGCCCCGCCTCCTTCTCCCGCCCGCCTGTCCTGCTGCGAGGTGACACGGGACTTCGGCTGGGGAAGGGGGCGAGGGAAGTAAGTTAGATGTCGGCCTGGCGGCCTTGGCGCAGCCCCCAACGTGAGCGCGGTGAGGGGAGCGGGTCGTAGGGAAGAAGGGGCCGCGTGGCAGATGTGGGAGGGCCCAGGGTGCGTGGTGGGGAACGCGCAGTAGATTCTGGGGCGGCTGTGAGGGGGCGAGGTTGACCCGGGTGTGTCCCAGTGCTGTCGGCCGGGCGTGGATAGCGGGTCGGTGGATGCCGAGCTCGCGTCGTTCTATTTCCAAAGCCTCTTTTGGCTGCTTGGCACACCTTAGGTTTGCCTCTGTTTTGGTTGTTTGGGATGCGAGGAGGAAATTTAAAGATCCCTGAAAACACATGGAGGCTTTCTCTGGGTGTTTTCCGTGCCGGTTCGTGCGTGCTCCTTCCTTCTTCCCGGTGGGAGAGGTAGAGAGGCCAGGTGGGCTGGTCTGCTTTCACTCTCGAGTATTGTTAAAATAAACAAACCAGGAATTCGTCACCCTCCTCCCCACGCCCTGCCCTGTAACTCAACGACAAACATTCCCAACAAGTTTTAAGAAGCAGACTAGAAAATTCTAAGGGATTCTTTGTCTTTGAAATACAGCACTAGTGAGTGTTGCTTTCTTTATGTATATAGAAAATACGAGTGGCAACGGGGCACATTTTTGGTTATGAGTACTCATCTTTCAGGGTCTGCTCTAGAGAATTCTAACTTTGTATCAGTGTGAAATACTGTGTTAGCTGTGATGTTTTCCTGAAGCACTAGTTTCTGTGAACTCGATCACCATAAAAGCTTAGCTGATTGTTTGCGGGAAGTGAAGTGGATAAATCTATAGTTCTGGTGAATCTAGTTTTTAATATGGTCTCTGTTTCTAGCAAACCTTTACGTATTTTTCTCTTTCACAGATTATTTAATCGCCCAACTACCACTGATGAAGATAAGTTGGAGTAACTGCTTGAACTGAATTTTACTGACCAGAATAGAGTCCATTTGTTCCACTTCTTTTTGTTCTCCCTACTGCTTTGAGCTTTACTGTAACGGCTGAAAAACTTGGAAAATAAAATGAACATGCTGTGGTCTTGAACATAATTTTTTTTTTTTTTTTGAGGAAAAATTAAAGTGCCAGAGTGAAAGCCAGAATGGCATCCAGAGAGAGGCTCTTTGAACTTTGGATGCTTTATTGTACAAAGGTAATTGCTTTCCTTTTTATTTCTAAGTTTTAAAATACCTTGTTATAAAATTTTGTGACTGGCCTTATTTTATTTAATGGATAGTAGCATATTTTTATTCATAGTAATGACCCAAAATTTAAAAGCATGGAATTTTCTGTTTTCCACTTTTCCAGGTTTGAACACATACACAATATTGACACATTTTTAAAACCTGTAGGTATGGTTTTGATATTTTTCTTAAGTGATCCCCAAATTATGTAAGTAACATTATGACCTTAGGAGAAAAAGAAAATATTTGTTTATGTGCTTTTTTTTTTAAAGATTTTATTTATTTATTTGACAGAGACACAGCAAGAGAGGGAACACAAGCAGGGGGAGAAGGAGGGGAGAAGCAGGCTTCCCCGCGGAGCAGGGAGCCGGATGTGGGGCTCGATCCCAGGACACTGGGATCACGACCCAAGCCGAAGGCAGACGCTTAACGACTGAGCCACCCAGGCGCCCCTGTTTATGTGCTTTTCTTTTTCTCCCACAAATTGGGGGTGGGATAGAGATATTTTTATGAGCCTTCAGCATTTTTACTATAATTAACCTTTTTAATTAGCTTTAAAAAGGTTATTGTTATGTAAACATGTTACTGATTTGAGGTGGTTTCTGTAAGCTTACTGTGATGATAGCACCTTATGAGTATTGTCTCATTTGACCCTCACAACAATCCTGTGAGATGGGTATTGTAATTATCCCCTTTTGCTGATAAGAAAATTGATGCAGAAGTTAAAGGGGCTATTGAGAAGCAGAACCACCTGAGTCAAGTCCACACTTTTATCCATTATGACTCCTTAATATTTTTTATTTTCGCATTCAAAAATAATTTTTTGTGTTTGTCTTTATGTGAGTTTTTACATGTTAGCTTTGATTTTAGCTTATTGGAGGAGAAGGATACTACTTAAAAACATGTTTTTCAAGAGAGGAGCTACATTACTACTATGAAGATATTGGAGAGGGTCAGAGAAACATCTCTAATTTACTACTTGAGTTACTTTAAGTCTGTGGTGAAGTTCTCAAGTCTCAGCTTCTGTTTCTGCATTATCCCTTTGGGTTTCTTTTTTATTCAGCTTTTTAAAGAACAAGTTATTCTTTAACAAACCATCTCAGTTATCTCTAATACTAAATTTTAGAGGTCACACGGGAATTTTCTTTGACTTCCTGGTTTGGTATTTCTTAGAGTTACTGAAGGACATCTACTTTGAAATGTTTGATATGGATTTTTAAAATAGCTTTTTAGTCTTGTGTAATTTAATGCCAGAAATGTCTTTTTAAAAATAGACCACTCTTCTAATAAAAAAGGAATCTAATTCACCACTTTTTTTTTTTTTTTTTTAGATTTTATTTATTTGACAGAGAGAGACACAGCGAGAGAGGGAACACAAGCAGAGGGAGGGGAGAGCAGGCTTCCCGCAGAGCAGGGAGCCCGATGTGGGGCTCGATCCCAGGATCCTGGGTTCATGACCTGAGCCGAAGGCAGACGCTTAACGACTGAGCCACCCAGGCGCCCCTAATTCACCACTTTTGAAAATAGTTACTAACACATGTCAGCCAAAAATTAAAATGCATTTTAGTATGAATGTCTGGTGGTTTAAAAATGATTTATTTAAAAATACATTTAACTTACTAGGTTTTACATTTTCAGGATGATAAAAGATAAGGGTTACATTGTGTTATTAATTAGTTATGTTGCTTGTAGGTGGAGTTCTTGTTTTATTTGTCATTGTGCTTATTGGAAAGATAGTATAGGGGCACCTGGCTGGCTCGGTTGGTAGAGCATGCGACTCGTGATCTCGGGGTTTGTGAGTTTGAGCCCCACGTAGAGTGTAGAGATTACTTAAAAATAAAATCTTAAAAAAAAAAAAAGAAAAGATAGTATAGTTTGTTGGCATACCCAGAGTTTTATTCTTGATGACTTTTAGTATAAATATGAATCTTTACTCCTTTATAAGATGTCTAAGTAGATAATGAAGACCCTTCATGGTCAAATTGTAAAGCCTGTTTTTGGACAGGAAGATAAATCCCCCCGCCCCTTTTTTTTTTTTTTTTTAATAAATCCCGTTTTTATGTTTAAGATTTAAATCAGTTGGGCACTTAATAAGATTTAAAATTTTTTTCAACTATTTTCAAAAATTGTTATTAAAATAATGATTTTATGTTTCATTTCATGTGTAAGCTTGTAAACTAGACAACGACTTTCTTTTCTACAAACACTTGGAATTCAAGTAGTTTCCAAATATATATCATAGATTTAACACTTCTGCTCCCTGGTGAGGATGATTACCAAATGCCCAGTTGTTCTCTATACCCTCTAGGCTTATTGCTCTTATTCTAGCATATTGCCTTTCAAAACACCTGCCTCTTTTTTTCACCTAACTTTTAAGACTTTTTTTTACACCTTTGATGGGTTATCAGACTACTTTAGGATTGCACAGATCTTATAACTTAGCTCCAACTTGGACTTCTTTGTGGGCTTGTAATTGTTAAATTTAGTTTTGGCTCTGCTCCTGTTTTATTTTGTCACCTTGAGCAAGACTTACCTCTTTGGGTCTCACATATTCTATTTCATATAAGAGTGTGTGTGGTACACGTGTATGTGTGTGTATAGGGAGAATGCTTGTCTAACTCACCATTAAGATTTTCATTTGTTTTGACCTCTGAGGGACGTGCATTTGTTTTGTCCTTATGCTTATGGATTGTCATATAGACCTTTTAAGTTCATCTTTTTTAAGCTTTTCCTTATGGAAAATTTCAAGTGGGCATAAATAGAGAAGATAATACAGTGAACCCTTTTGTATCTGTCATCCTGCTTCAATCCAGTTCATGTTTGGTAATGTTTTCATCTATAACCCTCCACTATGCCTGCATTATTTTAAAGCAAATCCTAGACAACATAATTTTATCTATAAGTATTTAAAAGTATATCTATAAAATAAGAACTCTTCTTAAAAACATCATCACAATATGATAATTCTTGGAATCATCAAATATCTGGTCAGTATTCAAACTTCTCTGATAGTATCATAAAGGTTCTTATTTTCCTGCTGTTTGACTCAATATTTAAACAAAGTATACACATCATATTTTGTTGAAAATGTGTGTTAAATCTTTTAATCTATAGGCTGTCCTTCACCATACTATTTATTCCTTCTATTTATTTGTTGAAGAAACCAGGTTTTGTTTTTTTTTTTTTAAGATTTTATTTATTTATTTGACAGAGAGAGGGAGGGAGAGAGAGCACAAGCAGGGGGAACAGTAGAGGGAGAGGGAGAAGCAGGCTCTCCGCTGAGCAGGGAGCCCGATGCAAGACTCAATCCCAGGATCCTGGGATCACAACCCGAGGCAAAGGCAGACGCCCAATCGACTGAGCCACCCAGGTGCCCAAGAAACCAGGTTTTGACATTAGAGTTTTCCTCAGTCTGGGTTTTGCTGGTTTAATTCCTTGATTTTAATTAATTATTTTTCTCTCCTGGTGTCTGCAAACTGGCAGATCTAGAGACTTGGCTGATTCATGTTCTATTTGGCAGGGGAAGCCTAGAATAATTTATAAGTGTCTCCACCATCAGTGAGTTTTACCTAAATGTATTAATTATTTCATTAGGAGTTTGCAAAACTGTGATATTCCAATTCTGTCATTTCTTTATTAGCAGAACATATATAGACAAGTGTTCCCTTATTAGCTGTTTGACAGTTCCTTAAAGGGAAGGCAGGCAGAATAAATATTTGATTATTTCTCTTTGTTTTCAGAATAATGACTTGATTTACTAGCATCCTCCCAAGGTGACCAGTTATTTTTCTTAAGTATCAAGTTCATCTTTTTTTTTAAGACTTTTTTCTTTTTTTTAAGATTTTATTTATTTATTTGACAGAGGGGGAGAGCAGAAGCAGGGGGAGCAGCAGGCAAAGGGAGAGGGAGAAGCAGACTCCCAGCTGAGCAGGGAGCGTGATGCGGGGCTTGATCCCAGGATCCTGACCTGAGCCGAAGGCAGACGCTTAACCGACCCAAGTGCCCCTCAAGTTGATCTTTAATGATTAAAAAAATTTTTTTTTTAAAGATTTTATTTATTTATTTGAGAGAGAGAGAATGAGAAAGAGCACATGAGAGGGGGGAGGGTCAGAGGGAGAAGCAGAATCC